TTGACATTGATGAAAATTTTTCTAGATTAGAAATAATGATGATGCTTATGATTTCACTGCATATGCTTGTGCCCCCCAAGTAGACGGGGAAATGTTTGCGGAACATGATGTCAATGATATAGAAGTCACAGTTAAGAGTCCTAGGTGTGTGAATGAAATGATAGAGTTAGATGGAAGTGATGAAGAGGGAGTTGAAGGGTTGAATGACAGTGAGGATGAAAGAACCATTGTACTTGCAGATGGATTTGATGGAAATGATGTCTCTCTACCCATTCGTGAAGGTTCAATAGTAGTTGGATTGTTAAGTGGTTCCAATAAGAAGAAATGGGAAGATGATGAATATGTTAGTAATGATCTAGACAATTATGATCCATATGATTCTGAAGATGATAATGGGCCTAAGTTTGAGAAGTTTAAGAAAAACCAACTTAATAAGAATTTTAAGTTTAAGTGGGGTATGCAATTCGATTCCCTAGATAACTTTAGAGAGGAAATTCGTGAGTGGTTAATTTTAAATGGTAGAGAAATTACCTTTGTGAAAAATGAAAGTTATAGGGCAAGGGTAGAATGCAGGGCTAAATGTGGGTTTTTAATGTTATGCTCTAAAGTGGGACATAAGCATACTTATGTCATTAACACTATAAAACACAACCACACATATGATAGAGTTTTGGATAATAGATCTGCTTCATCCAGGTGGATGGTCAAGGTTGTTGTGAAGAAAATGCAAACATTTGAGACAGTTAGAATTTGTGATATTATTCAAGACATGAGACAAAATTACTCTGTGGGAATTACTGTGGCTAGGGAATGGAATGAAAAGCTGATAGCAAAGAGATAATTGAAGGAGATGCATACATGCAATATGCAAACTTTTGGAGATATGTTGCAGAGTTGAAAATAGTAAATCCTGGGAGTACTTTGAAGATCAACATTGACAGACCAATCCCATCAATTCAACCAAGATTTGGATCTTTTTACTTTTATTTTGATGGATGTAAAAAAGGATCCATAAATGGATGCAAATCATTTTTTGGGGTTGATGGGTGCCATTTGAAGACCAAATATGGGGGTCAACTTTTAATAGTTGTAGGTAGGGACCCAAATGACCAATATTTCCCATTGGCCTTTGGTGTTTTGGACATTAAAAAAAAGATAGCTGAAGGTGGTTTCTATAGTTGTTAATGGAAGATGTTGGACAAGACAATAGATATGCCTTTATATCAAATCAACAAAAGGTGTGTTAAAAGTAGTATCATTTTGTCATTCATTTTTCATATTTCAAATGTTAGATGTTTTAAAAGTTGTGTCATTTTCATGATTATTACAGGGTTTGGTAGCAGTATTTGAAGAAGTGTTTGAAATAATAGAGTATAGGTTGTGCCTGAGACATTTGTATGCAAACTTTAAGAAAAAGGTTGGAGGTAGATCATTAATAAGAGATCTCATGATGGGAGAAGTCAAGGAAACTTACTATCAAGTATGGATGCAAAAAATGAATGAATTGAAGCAAGTAGATATTAAGGTTTTGACATGGCTAATGGGAGTACATCCAAAGTGTTTGTGTAAGTATGCATTAAGTTTTTACTCTAAATATGATGTATTGATGAACAATATTGCTGAGTCTTTTAATGCCACAATTTCAGTAGTTATAGATAAACCTATACTAAGCATGTGTGAATAAATTATAAAGTACTTAATGAATAGTTGCAGTAATTCTGCCATGAAACTTGAAAAGTGGTCACACAAGGTTATGTCAATTCCTAAAAAGAGATTAGATAATGAGGTAGCTATGAGTGGGCATTGGTTGCTAACTTGGGTTATGGATGAAAATTTTCAGGTTACTCATTCTTATAACAAACAAGAATTCATAGTTGACATTTCCAAAAGGTTTTGTACATGTAATTTCTGGGAGTTGGTTGGTATTCCTTGTAGGCATGTTATTGCAGCTTTAGGTTTTAAGCAACAAAATCCAAAAATGTTTGTTGATGAATGTTACTCTAGGGAAAAATATGTCATTTGTTATGGTTTTATTGTGAGTCCCATTAATGGATAGGAAATATGGCCTGAAGTTGAAGGTGAAGAGTTTTTACCTCCTAGGTACAAAAAAGGTCCTAGCAGACCAAGAAAATTGAGTATTATGGAGTGTGGTGAGAAAGGGGCTAGAAAAAAATTGCTTAGTGTGTCTTATAGGTGTACAAAGTGTGATAAGTTTAGACATAATGTTCTGTCATGCAAGAGCAAGAAACAAAACCCAAATGCCTTTGAAAGAAAGGTATTGTTCGTTGTCTGTTCAGTATTGTTTGTTTAGAATGTTATAGGTGTAAATAATGTTCTAATATTGTATGCCATTTAGATTTTTGTAGAAAAAGGTTAAGTCTGATGCAGGTACAAGTGCAACCACTAAAGTGAAGGCTAATCAACCATATCAACCAACTGAGGCGAGTCAACATGATGCTTCTGCTCAACAAAACCAACCAACTGAGGCAAGTCAACATGATGTAGTCACACCAAATACAAGATTGTTTGAGGATATTTATGATGAGATGATGTCAACCATACCTAGCATCAACACATCAAATCCAATTATGCAAACAACAACTGACATCAGCTCAGCAAGTACCAAAATAAAGGCAAAGCTAAAGACAAGTAAGAAGGCAAACCAATGAAAAAGAGGTAAAATGAGAGAATTAAACTGAAATGCTTTTAAAAATTAGTCATAGGGCCTAGTTCGAACTCAAACCAACCAATGTATCTGTCAGAAGAAGGAGGTATTCTGACACAAAAAGGCAATGGATCTCAAAAATCTCAAAATGCAAAGAAGGGTATAAGGAAATCTCCAAGGAAGAAATCAAAGAAGTAGTGAACACTATATTATGACCTTATGTAATCTATTTTATCATTATGTAATGACTTATACAATTTTAATGTCCTTTTGTAATGATTGTGATGCATACTATTAGTGCTATTTTGTAATGACTAATGCACACTTTTGGTGCAATTTTGTAATCATCTTATGAACTAATCATTTCAATTCCTTATATCACAATAATTGATTGACAAAAAATTTAAACATTTCATTAATACAAAGTAGTTTTACAAATGTGTTCAGAATCTTCAAGATGATGAAAATACATCAGACTACATAACTTCCAAATACATCAAACTACATAAAATTACAACAACATGAAAATTATATTAACTTGTACAACATTGCAAAAATCAACCTGAATATCATAAGTTCCATCTTCAGATTGAAAATTTTCTTCTTCTGAACTTCGATCTTTATCTTTGATTTTTTTAACTTCTTCAATGTGATTTCGAATCTGACATTTGCCATATCACAATTTTGGCAACTTACTTAAATATTAGAATTCACTTTCAAAAAGTCTCTAATTTTACATCCCAGACAAACAAGTCATGTCCATCCACACATGTGTTGTGACATCTCCAGAATTTCCTATTATGGTTTTGAACAGTGTTGGAGATCTACATCTTCATTACACGATCACTTTTACACCGGGGTAAAAATTGAAATCTAACGGAAAGTGCTCTGCTGCTTCCAACTGAGTTGCTTCCAACCATGTTACCTTATACGCAAGATCGTATTAGACAGAAGAAGAACGAATTCAGAAGGATGGAAGAAGAAAAAAATGCAAAGAGTAAAACGGAACTCTAGGATGAAGAATAAAAAGAACAAAACAGGTGAAGAAGATGAAGAACAAAGCAAAAAAATACATGTACACTCATCACTTTCAACGTGACATTTATACTCCAGTCAATAGGCCATCAAATGCCAACTGGGTGAAATCAATTACATAGTCAGCGAAATAATGACAAAAGGGTCTTGCATGATGGAATAAAAAAAATCTTAAAGAGAAAAAAACTAAAACTCACTATAATGGAAAGGGGTAACATATATTTAACCCTTATTTTATTAAGTGGTAAATATATGAATACTATAAAATATAATTTTATATTATTAATTTTTCTAATAAATAGTTGGATCGTAAGTTTAATCGCTTAAATCAATTGAGCTTTAAATTGAATGATTCATCAGTTCAATCTTCAATTTGAATTTTAAAACATCAATTCTTTATATGACTCATTTATTTTTATCTAGAAATATATTGACTCAAAAATTTAATCCCTAATTACTTTTTTTTATGGATTAATCGTGGTCATTGTTTTATAAAGTAATTTTTATAATATTTGTTGAGAAAATTAATAAAGCTATTTGAGAGTTTTTCAATACAACATTTCAAGTCAAACTACTTGAAGCTATGCTTAAAAAAATCCTTCATTTTAGATGCTTAATAGTTAATTGTTAGATTAAATAAATTAATACTTTACAAATTTATTAGAATTTCTCCATAATGAAACCGAAGATTTGAGGTTTTATTGTGGGAGTTTCTCCATAGTGAAACCGAAGATTTGAGGTTTTATCGTGGGAGAAACAGTTTTTAAAACCGTTTTAAATAAATTGACGAAATAAAAAAAAATGTGTTATCACAATCAACATAATTTCTTACTATTTGTATTTGATACTTTTATATTCTAACATAAAAAAAAAACTTTTACAAATAGTGTAAAACCTTATGCATAATAGTATTGTTTCTCGCGGGATAATGAATGTAGTATTTAAAAAAATTGATTTTGTTATTCAAAAAGAGAGAATGACTCAATTTATTACCGTTTGTTTACAAGCAAAAGTATCGATTCATAATTTTCTCCCTACAGTTTCCAACTAACTAGTATTGACATTATTGAATTATTTTCACATTTTCACTCCAAACACATTCTGAGCTTTCTAGGCTAACTACTGCCCACCCTTCATGCACAAAAGGCCTGTCACCTACCTAAAAGTAAAAAATGTGTGACACCATAAGCACAAATTAAATAAGATTGCTATAAATACCATGCAAAGTGAGACCACATATCATTCATTATTACACAAACGCTAGAGATTCAAGCAAAATTTTGAGTTTGAGTTTTTTCCAATGGCTCTCTGGTTTATACTTCTGCTTACACTCTTTGCAGTTGGTGAATCTCAAACCACAACAACCGCGTTTAACCAAACCGACCTGCAGACAGCCATGTCCGACATGAGAAGTCGGTCTTATTATGGATTTGTCATCCTCCTCAAAATCTTCAACAGCCGGCCAAATTCACTGCAAAACAATGATCTCACATTCCTAATGCCAAATGATGAAGATTTATCTCATTTCTCAATAACCCCTGACGAACTCCATGATTTCTTACTTAGCCACTCTATTCCAACACCATTGCTGCTCAATCATCTAATGCACTTTCCAAATGGCTCTGTAGTTCCCTCTGGCCTTCCAAGCAAGGTGATCAGCATCACCAACAGTGGCAGAGCAGGTTTGTTTGTTAACAATGCAAGGATTGTTACACCAAATGTGTGCCAAAACTCTCAAATAAGGTGCCATGGAATCAGTGCTGCTTTGACATTTGAGAATGGTACTCCTTTTCACCATTTTCCAGAACCTAGGAATTCATCAAAGAGCAGCAATGGCTCGAGTTCAACCCCATCTGTTAAGAAAATGAGCATGCCACATTTCAAGTGAGGCAAGAAAAATAGTTGCTATTGATGTAATGTGATTTCTTGCGGTTTTATGAAATAATAACAAGGTGTCACTTTTAATGTATCCTCTTATGATTCAATCAGACTAATCATTTCCCGTTGGCGGCATTTTGAACAAGTTACATATTAATAATTATAATTATAAATACTTTTTTAATGTAAAATTAAAATAAAATATTCATAAATCAAAGCGAATAAATATCTTTGTAATGTAAAATTAAAATAAAATATTCATAAAACAAAGCTCGCACACATTATAATCGACTATATCACATTATAAACGACTATATGAAAAAAGATTAAGGCCAGAGTCTCAACTCAAATTTACCTTTAAAACATTATAATTTAAGAGATAATTTTAGTGTTTTATGGGGGGAAAATGATATCGGGCTAGAAACTACTCCGGGCCAAGGACCACTCTGCTCCACTATTCTGCTATTTACCCTATAACGGCTGCTATGTTGTTCTGCACCACTAAGACTTTTACCATTGCGGTCAGCCTCCGCTCCATAGCAAGATAGTGCTGCTGTTGCCTACTATGAGTTCAATCACTTCACCCATAACTAGACCAAATGACGAATTACTAACTAAAAGAATAAGAAAATAGAATTATTTAAAAAAATAAAAACCAGTTAAACCAACAATAGTTCAAACGTAGTTCGGTTCAATTAGTCAATATGACAGAACCGGATTCAAACCAAACAATAAACTGACTGGTTCAAACACGATTTAAACATTGCTCCAGATCTAGCCATGGTTCAACTCACAAAGGATAAAAAATAAGATTACCTCATCCCAACATATAAACATAATGGGCAACTAACTGGATTCCACATATTAGGCAATAATCAATAATTCGCCACCGAAACATGTCCATACATACACTAGATAGAACAAACCTGGTTTCCAAGTTGCAGTTAATTATAAGCACTTAATAGTACCTCCTCCATCTACGGCGGCTTATACTGCCTCAAATGTAATGGAATCGAACCAACTCTATGTCAATTGTATAACAGAATGAGAATGCTATAATAATATGTAAGAGATTACAACAAACTAGGAACCAATACTCATCATGGGTTTGTACGGAAAGGGTGACAGTCATTAGATTGACTGTCTGCCTTGGGAGGACCGTTATATAGAAGATCATGGATTTTGGAATACATCAGCATTGAAGAAGGATCACCACTGCTCTGTGATAGGCGAGAACTCTCCTGCAATTTGATTTTCTCATACAAATATTGCTTCTCAGCCTCAGCCTCACTTAACTTCTGTTTCAAATAGTTGCTGGTATATTCTTCTTCTGATTTATCAGACTTGGCAAGGGCGATTCTCTGGAGCCTCTCAGCCTCTCGTTTGGCCTCATTAGCCTTCAATTGGAACATATCAGCCTCTGCATTTTTAAGCCTCACAATTCTCTCTAGTTCTTCAATCTGTGACTTCTTTTTTTGCCTCTCCACCTTGAGATCTCCTGCTTCTCTGGCTTTGTCTGCTAATTCACGGTCACAAGCCTCAACAGCTAAACGAGCCTTCTTGAACATCCTCATCTTCTCATCCGCTACAAATTCCATCTTTCGTATAGCCTCTTGCACCACTTCAGCAATTCTATTGCATGCCTCCTGGGGAGCAATCAGCCTTCCACTTTCTGCATTTTCCAGGCTCTTTGAGTTGTCCAGGTCAAGCTCTGCACGAGGAAAGCACTAGTTAGAACGAGAATAAATAATAAAAGAAACACCTTATTTTATGTGTTTAGAATTGGGTTTCAATGAAAAGAAAACAGGCAATTTGGCGATGATCTCAAAATATAGCCTTAAAGTTGTTCTTTTTATCACTTGTTGTTCAGTTTTTTAATGAATTACAGTTTGTTCAGTCAAACATAACTAAATTTGATATAGAAATAGTAAACGAGATTAAGAAAGTGAAAAACATAGTTGTCTTATACATACTCTGCATGAATGCATGTGTGTCAACATATGTCAACATAGATATTGAAAGACTACAATTTGCAAATAAAGTAGAAATTTTAATACCTTGGAAAACCATCAATATTGCCCTACATGCTGCTTTAGAATCCAATTTTCTACTTTTCAGTTTTTCCTTGAGATCATCACACTTCCAAAAGAGATTCATCCCGCGTTGGTCTTTGCTACCATGAAAGATCCTACTAACAAAATCAAGCTCCCTTATCAAGGCATCCCCATCCCATGATGGTGCACAGTGCTGGAAGACATCTTTAACCCAGCCCAATAGTTCTGAAGTCCTACTGCATGCTTGACACCTGAAAACCATTTCGCTTGACCCTGATCCACTCTTAACAGAAGGACCCATGCAGATAAGTTGCTCCCGAATGGCACAATCAGTGTGAGTCCAATGAGAACACAAATCACATCCAATCCAACGGCAAGTATTTACTTCAAAGTCAAACTTGCTGCAGATAACACACATGCAAAGATTGCAGAAGCCATTGTTGTTAGTGCATGTATCACAAGAACACTCGTCAGCTGGAAGCTGGTTTTGGCAAGCTATGTTTCTGCACCTCTTGTACAAAAATATCTCAATCAGCGATGTCTGCGACAGACTGATGCTAGGATGTAAAAATCCCTGAATTCCAGTATTTATAGAAACAAGAATTTCAAGCTGCACTCGATGTGCTCGAATCAATGTCTGGGCTGTTAAATCAGATCTACTCTGAACAAGCTTCTGCAAAATGAAAAACTCGTCTCTATGCTGCGTGCCATTCCCTCCCTCAAGGATAGCTCGAAGTCCATTTTTCAGCTCATCTAAAAACTCATCAGGTAGACGGTGCATTCTATCACATATTACATCCACTCTTTCTCTAGCAATATCCTGAAGACTAATTCTGTCCGCACTCGAAACACGACGAATAACTGACTGATCAGGACAATCAATAGCTGCTTTTCCATTCTCCATCTTCTTCGCAGCAATTGCATCAGCAGTAGGCCAGGTTTCTCTAGAACTAGCACTTTCAGTAGGAGATTCTCGAAGATTATCAGAATTCGACCTAGGATCCTCAGGAGACAAGCGCGGATCCAAAGGAACCAGAGACAACGACGTTTGCAGTCCTCCAACCCGAGATTGCTGTGGCGGAGGGAGCATTTTTCTGCAACAGCTTCTGTTTTATGCTAAATCCTGGAAGTGACATGTCCATGAAAATTGAAAATATTTGCTTAGTCAACAACTAGCGCAGTTGAATATTATACAAATTACACACCACAGCATACAACTAATCCGTCACACTCTCTTCGTTGTATTGCATATACTATGATGAGTTAAAATCTGTGTATGTTTGTTTTAAATTTTGGAAGAGCCAAAAACAAGTCTAAAGGTGTAGGATAAATTTTGGAGTGATTTTGAGGTGTTTGGTTATCCCAAAGTAGAATTGATTCTGCCTTCGGAATCTCCATAATTGATTCTACTTGAAGCTAAAATTTGTAGCTTTCAAGTTTAATCGTGACTTATAAATTGAAATTTACATTTTAACTCGCTTCCACATAAATTTATCCAAAAATAAATCACTTCACCTTCAACTCACTTTTAGCTAAAATCAATTTTACAAAATCAATTCGTTCAAAATCAATTCTTTCCACCGCAGAACAAAACACACGCTAAAAAGCTACAAAATAACTTGAGAAAATTCACAATCTAATAAAAATTACAGCAATTCATATTCTGAAGAAGCATATAATCGAGATCCACACAAACAAAACCAATCAATTAAACTAAACACTAGTGAATTTTACTGTTGATGCTGCTCTACTACAGCTTCTCAAAGAATCAAAGTAACGAACTCAAACAGAAAATCAAGTGAAAAAAAGGTGCAAGTTAAACAACCTAGTTGACCCTAAAATTCATGAATTGAAAAGAAAAGCATGAAATTTAGGCTGAAAACGATATCGAAGTTCATGAAATTACAGTAACAAAAACCGAAATTGAACATTGGATAGAAAAGGAGAAGAAGTGATACCGATTGGATTGGAGTGAATCTCGTTGTTTCTTCAGAGACGAAAATGGAATCGCAGAAAGGGAAAGGGAATTTAGGTCAAAATGAGAAAGAATGGAGTGGATTTTTTTATGACCGTTTTATCATTGACCGGTTTAACGGTTCGAACCGGGAAAAGAGGATATGATGACGAAATTGGATATGGAATATTTGAAAGAACAAGTGGGAAGGAGGAGAATAATGTCTTTTTTAATAGTCGGTGATGGGTGACCGGTTCGTCCGGTTGACATGCCTGTGTCACGCGGAGTTTCTTTGACTTGGTTGTGTATAGTTTACTCTAGTGTTGTTAATTGGGCAAGAGAATATTCCAAAAATAAAATAAATAAATTTGTTTGACCATCTAGAGTTTTTTTTTAATAATTTTTTTTTTAATCTAGATTCTAGAGTTTATGACACTTTTCTCACCCAATCACTATTTTTTGGGTCCAACGATCACTTTTTTAAGTCTATCTAGTAAATTAAATATGTTCTTTTAAAATCTTATAAATATTTGAGAATGTAAATTTGTTTAGTTCTTATTCCATTTTGTATGTTTTCTTTTAAATATTATAAAAATTTGAGAACGAAAATTTGTTTAGTTCAAAAGGTTATCCTTAAAGCGTAATCTAATCAATAGACTATTGATTTGTTTTTGGAATGAGAAATTTTGTATGTAATTTATAAGTTTAGAAGTTATTTCTTGAACAATAAATAACAATTTGGATTGTATTAACTTTTGGATTGTAATGTTTTTTACATAATAAATTTTTTAAACACTCTTAGTTAAGATCCTATGTCATATTTATATTTATGTAAATCCTTTTAAAATAAATTCATTCATGCTAGAGAATCAAAAATGTTTGGTGAAATGGTGGTGTAGTGTTATATTTATAAAATGTGAGGTAAGACGTTTTCCAAGCAAAGAGAAAGTCAAGGACTTTTCCTGACTCATGATTTTCTTGAAAATATGGATTCAACTATCCATTATTGACTAAGCGGGTGATGACCTTTTCTGAGGAAACCCTAGGTCCTAAAGACCTCTTTAAATACATCTTCTTTCAAGGAGAAAGGGATAGACCTGAAGTAAAACACATTTTTTATACTCAAAAGAGCACAATGCTCAATATAGTCTTAATACACAACCGTCAATAATCGTACGCTTGCTACTGAACATCACCAACCATCAACATAGTCTCTCACCTCGTATGAGCATATCTTTTAAACTAACTCAAAACACCACCATACAGGGATTCTCGCTGCCACGGGAAAATCTTAACCACACACAAATATTTTAAACATATTAAGGCCTCAAAGTCTCCCTGCCCTTGTTGGAGTAACATGCACACTTGTACTTTTTGACAAGTACAATGGCGCCCATCGTAGGACCCCAGTAAAACTAACCTAGGTCATACTTCTACTCCAATCCTCTCAATCTTCTTTCAAATATGACAAAAAAAAATCACAACCTACAACGTAAACACCATCGTCGAAGGCTTCACCAGTGGAGGTAACTCTAGATCTTCCTAGAGGAAGTACGTAAGGTAGGTATTTGCAGCAAATGTAATATCCCATGGCTTCTTCAGGGGCTCTCAAGGGAAAATATGAGGTTAATATCATCTTCTCTGAGGAGGAAACCCTTAGACTTAACCCTCATGATGATGATCTTTTGGTTATCACTGTGCAACAAGGAAGATGGGACATCAAGCGTGTCCTGATAATGTAACACCTAAGGCTGAAGAGAGAGGATAGTGGATGTAAAACTCAAGCCCGAAGAGGGTGGATAATGGTCGTCGAATTCACATCGAAATGATAGGGATTATGAGGTTGTGTAGGGATGAGAGTGCATGATTGAAGAAAGCCTTATAAGGATTGATTGATACTACCTATACCAACAAGATGCATCTTCTTTCGGAAACCTAGCAAGTAAAAACTCCACAGTTAAGGAGGTTTAACTTGGAGTAGTATTTGGATGAGTGACCTTTTGGGAAGTTTTTCGGAAAGCATGTGAGTGAAGACAAAGTATGTTAAATGGTATCAGAGCCAGGCCTATCCCAGTACAATATGGTTCGGGGATAAACCAAGTAGAAGCTAGTGAGCTTGTAACACCTGAGGCCGAAGAGGGAGGAGAGTGAATGTAACACTCTAGGCCGGATAGGGAGAATATTGGTCCCCTAATTCACATCGGAATTAGAGGGCTCCTAAGATAATGTAGAGATGGGACTGCATGGTTGAAGGAATGCTTATAAGGATTAATTGGTTCTACATATACCAACAAAATGCATCTTATTTTTGGCCTATAAAATAAGAACTTCATAGTTATAAAGGTTTTACTTGGAGTAGTATTTGGATGAGTGGCCTTCTAGAAAGTTTCCTGGAAAACATGTGAGTGGGGACAAAACATGTTGAAAAGACCGGTGTTGGTTTATGGGGTCAGTCAGTAATCTTGAAAGTAGTATGAGGCGTTACAAATAGACCATGTCAACTCTGTTGATGTTCTATTTTGGTACGCCTTCCAGAAGCTATAACTCAACCCGAATGACATAGAAATATTTAGTGGTTCCTTGATGGGGTTACCAGGAAAATAGGTACAAATAATGAGCCACATAGCCTTAGTAACCACATGTGGAGGGGAAATTGACATCCGGGTGATTCACGTCAACTACCTCATTGTAGATGTTGTGTCACCGTACAACACCATCCTTGCAGAATCTGAAGTCACGATCAATCTTAACTTAATTTCTTCCTACACTTTCTCCACTCACTGCCCACTACTGGAAGTTACTCCCACTCCCTCCATAACTCACCCATGATCTCTGGAATAGACAAGAGATTCACAGAGAAAATGGGGGGTGGATTCTTCATCCCGAAGGACTGCCAAAGTTCTATTGAAGTCATCGTTACTTTTATTTCTTTTCCTTTTTCCCTTTTTGTTCAGAGCTTTGTATTTTTCTTTCTGCAATTTTATTTGGCCAATTGGCCAAAGTAGAATCCTGCCGACATTGTGGAGGACTACTCTTCAATATCAGTACTACTTTCCAGGTTCTTATTAATTAAATTACTACTTTATTTCTGTCATAATGCATATTTTACTATTCTGTTGTTTATGTTTATTTCCGTTTGCATTAATTATCATGTCTAGCTAAGTTAATTTTATTGGTACGTAACCGAATTAGTAGGATAGGATTCGATAGTAACCGGTATCTTCCCTTTTTACAAACAACCTTTCTGGCCGTAGTTTTTAATCTAAATTCTAAATAAACCTTTGTCACGACAGTGAGAAGCTATTTACGGTGGTTTTGCCACGACAGTGGGAAACCATATTAAGGTACGAACCAACAAGCGACAGCTGCGGCTAAGACCAGATAGTAAAAACTAGGCATTCCTTTTAAAAACAGCGACAACGCTTTAAAAGGGATTAGAATTTAGAGATTTCCAAAAAGCAATTTTAACCCCGAACGGAATAGCGACAACATACGTTCCGCCTTAGAGTTGCGACTAGCGTCAACAACCATCGTGAGACAAAGGTCTTTAAACCGTTATTTTCTTCTTAAAAGTGTTTGCAAAGAGTAGAAAGCACCGATGACCTGTCGAATCCCCGATAACTAAGTCCTTGCATACCGATATCCCTTTACCATCCTTTCCAAAAACCAATTATCTTTATTTCTTTGCATTTAATTTCATTCGCATTCAACTTTCCTAATTCCAATAGCCTTAGCTTTACGCCGTAATAATAGATAACGGTAGATTGACATTGGTCTTTGTGGGTTCGACAATCTTTTATATTACTTCGATATTTCCGTGCACTTGCGGACGCATCAGCTACCTGAGTGGTCTCGGGACAGCCAAAGAAGAGGTTGCACTTGTTAAAGTCCCCCCCTTTCGAAAGGGCATAAACACCTGTGTGCTTTGTAAGTAAAGTGTTCAGATACATCGATGCACCTAATCAAAATATCAAAAAGCTGGCGCTGCCTATCGTCGTTGCAACGAGGAAACTGATATTGTACTTTCAAGGTCACAAAGGCCTGTTGAAAACCAATTATTCTGTCTGGAGTGTCTTGAAGAAATATGATTTAGCAGGGAGAATGGTATCTTGGGCGATAGAGCTCTTGGAGTATAA